TCCTTCCCCCCCCCTCCAAAACAACAGCAAAAAAAAAAAAAAAAAATCCAGCCCTTTCAATAATAAAATGAACTCTTGAAACAGAACCACAAAATATTTGAAATACGCCTTTCTTTCAGGAGAAGTAAACTTTTGAGAAACTGCATGTACATTTTGGCACAGTGACTATCTGAACAAAGAGAAAGTGAGGCTTTCAAAAGTAACATAAGGAACAGCAATGAAATATCAGGAAATTGTAGTTCTGGCATCAAGTAAGAATAGGGAAAAGGGAAAATATTGCAGGATGAAAATGATTTGTTTTGGCACACAAGCTGTAACTATGGGAGCGTTACAGAACCTCAACTGATGGCGTCGTTTTGTGCCTCAGTAAACGATGCCATGAAAAGAATTTGCTCATCCTCAGGACTCGATGCCTTTTTGTCAGTAAAATTGTTTCTTCAGATCAAATTGTTATCCACGGATTTTGTCTCCCCTTTTTTCTACTCCGTCTTTTCAGCCTTCTGGATTGACTTGCTTATAACGAGTGATGCTTCTGGCTCCTGCTTGTTGAATGAAATAACACCCTGTGCTATTTATGTTATTTATTCCCATTCTGCTAGATAGTAATTCAGACATTAAAAATAATGCCTGTGTAGCCGCATGCCTTAAATGTGATTCCACAAAGATTTGTGGCTCTATTATTGCGATGACAGAATCTTTTTTTCCCTTTCCTAGCATTTTGCTACAGGTAGTGGGTCTGCTTTTCAGATCAACCAAATGCCATGACAGATAATCCTACCGAAATGCAAGTCCCCTGGAGGCCTTTTCCCAATTGCATTAGGTTGAGCTATTCTTGCTCCCCCCTCAACAAAGCTGGCCTTTCAAACTTTTGCAAAGGTTGTTTTTTGTAGCCATAAATGAATTGTTCTAAATTAAATATATGATGAAACTTGCCCCTTTGATCCAAGATCACAACAGGAGGCAGCGCCTTGTGACCTTGGGTGATTTTGAAAAGAAGGGTTGAATTTAATTAGGATGGCAAACTGCTCCAAAAAATAATAATCCCAAGCTTAGAGTTTAGATTGAAAATAGCGCAAAAGTCAGCCACTTCCTTGTTTTCAAAAATCTCCCCAAATCCTGCACTGACTCCAAAAATGGGGGTAAGGGACGGGTAGTCCTCAATTTATGGCCACAATGGAGCCCAAAGTTTCCAAAGATGGTTAAGTCAGTTTTGCCTCATTTTGTAACTTTTCTTTCCACAGTTAAGTGAATCACCGCCGTTGTTAAGTTAGCAACACTGTTTTCAAATGAATCTGGCTTCCCCATTGACTTTGCTTGTCAGAAGGTCGCAAAAGGGG